TTCAATCAGAAATTTATGATTATCTGGTTGATTAATAAGTGAAATTGAATCTAAATAAAAAAGTGGAGTTGAAGGGAAAAATTTTAAAGCAAACTGCAGAATACATATTTTGCAAAAGCAGATTTACTGACTTACCCTGCCTATTTCAGTTCTTTAATAATGACACAATAAGTAGAATTCATATAACTTTGATTTTACACTTCATTCTTCAAAAATGGAGGCAATCCTATGAAGCCTTCCCTTTTAAGTGTTAGTAATAAGTTAGAATATGTTAACAAGATGCAATATGTTGTGTAGATATTTTCTTCATAAATAAATTTTAAATCCAAATAAATAATGCCTTCAAGTTAAGCAAAGTATTGATGCTGTGTAATTGCAAGGGGAAAAAGTCTATTTATAAAAGAGTTAGAATTGAAGTAATTTAAATTTTAAAAAAAGGAATTAATATAGAAGGAGTATAAAAAATGTGATCTACTACAGAAGTATCTCTATATAAGATAATTACTTTTAAGAAGATAATTAATATAAATATTAAAATGTAATCTCCTAATAATGAAACACTTTAATTTAGAATAAGGTATCTTACCTACACATCTTTAACTAGCTCTACTCATTTCAATTTTCACTCTATTTCTTGGATTTTATCTTAAATAAAATTAATTTGTAATCTTCGAAGCGAAAATACAACAGTGATATAAAGAGTCCCCTTCAGTCAAAAAACTAAAGGCCTGGGTATGATTTCCCAGAGTGTTTAAGGCATAAATTGTATATTCTTCCCAAAAATAGAAATCTCTCCCCATAACACTTTCTCATAGGGAGAAATCCAGATGATGTAGCTCTGTAAGGGATCGACGGAATGAAAGAAAGAAAAGCCGAAAACCCAAATATTTTAGATAGAAAAGAGAATGGGGGAATAAATACAATTCAAAATCCTCCTCCGAGCAGCTAGGCTTGACCGGGCTGTTAGGGGCTCCTAATTTAAACCTCACCCATTTCCCTTTTCTGCTGTGCTTTCCAATGCCATCATGTCCGTTCTAAGTCTGTCTCAGTCCCTAAGGTAACAGGGCAGGCTCAGGGGGCAGTTCCTCAGGACATGCTAATTCTGACATCATCAGAGAAGTTTTTTTTAATTTGGGGAATATATTTTTGATTTTAATATAAATTCTAAGGTTGCCAATAGTGGCCTGTTTAATTCCAATCGGATAATACCATATGGTATCAACTTTGAAATCATATTTGGGAGTATTCTCTAGAATAAGTATCAGGGGAATGGTCAATCATACAATTCCACTTAAAAGTCAATGTTTATCTCGTGACAAAGAGGGAGCCACAATCAAAGTGTAGTACAACCTGAGGGAAGGTATGGCTTTGGAAGCTGATATTCAGATTTTGGAGGTAGTTTTCTCATACTGGGTTGAATAGTTATATCAATGTCTTAGGAGGTTTGTTGAAAGAAGTAGATGAAACCGGTTTAAGAACTATTCCACAACGGCATATAATAACATTGACTGAAAGACAAAATTGTTTCTTCAATCAATTTAGCTTTTTTTGATTTTCAGAGAAGGATTTGATTATCAACTATTAGATTATATTGGGAAAATTAATCAAGAACCTCGCAGGATCTAGATTGGGAAAT